TTTTTATTCTCTATAGTCACTTTGATCAAATTCGATTATTTATTATCTTATCTCGCTGTTTGATATGTATACTCAGTAACGCTTAATAATATATGTTCAATTTCTTTAATTACTTTTTTTTAAATCTTTTTGTTGTTAATCTCAAATTGGTAACGGCTATATAATTTAATGACGCGTGATATTATAAGAAATAAATATTTCGTGGCTAGAATTACCAGCTATGTTAGGAAAAATAGTTGAAATAGAAAATAGTAAAAAAATAGAAAATAAAAGTATTTTATTTAACCATAATAATATTTAATGAAATATTTAATGAATATGAAAATGTCAAATAAGTATCTTATTTAAAGTAAATATAAACAGTAAATACTATTTGCCTTTTTATATTTATTATGCAAAACTGATTGTAAATAGTATTTTTCGTAGATCCATACTTTAAATATTTCTCTACCGAATTAATTTCAATTTTTCCCCAGCTCTGGTTACCAAATTCCTTTAAGAATACATGTATCTCATGGCGATCTTAAATTAAACATCTGGTTTTATTAATTAAAATTATTTTATATTTAAATTCTATTAATAAGAATTGTCAATAAAAATTATGTTTTAGAAATTTTGGTTTACTATAACTACATACCTATATTTAATGCATAAGGAATTATACTTCTTCTTTCCACCTCTCTCTCTCTGCGAATTATTATTTTTTTTAAATGTACATGTATCCTTTTTTATGATTCAGGTATGGTAATTCTTTTCGCAACGTACTTACAAGTAACGCAAACTCGCCGCCTTCGTTCCGTTTCCATTTTCCTTATTTTTCAATCTATACAGACACAAATAACGTGATGGAGCAATATGAAGTAAATTTATTAAAGAAACTATATCACTTAGGGCCATGAAACGGATATAAAACGCGCGTAATTGATCGAGATAACGAGAGGAGAAGGGCATGGCGAGAACAGCGCCAAGACTCGTGGCTCCATCTGTAGCCGGGGAGGTAGATTCGTGTTGCGTGCTATTCCCCTCCGACCTCTGCGCATCATTTCATCTTGGAATAACCGGCGTGTTTTAAGGAATGCATGTGGCCTACAACAAAGTTGAGAAAAGGTCACGAAGCGTGGGTTGCGCAATTACTTTTCATCGCGCGAGCGTAATTGCGGGACCCACGTTCGCGCAAGGAAAAAAGAAAAAGGAAGAAAGGAAAGAGGAAAGTGGGAAATATTCTTTATGTACTCGTTTAGTTCGAGTCTTACTTTAAACGCAAAGGGCTTTGTGAGATAAATTCTCAGCCGGAGGCTAGAAGAGTAGCTTCTTGGGAACAGTGCCAAAAGAGAAACGGGGAACAAAACAATCCTTTGCTGAAACCCGATATTCTATTCTATTATTATAATAATCACCACAAAAGTCAGCCAGTGACACGCTACGTTTACCTGAAAATCAAATTTTTCTTTCAGATAAAAAAGGAGGAATTAAAAAGAAATTCTTTTTAAAGAGAAAGAGTTCAGCAAAATATATATGCCATATGTCTTTAGAAAAATTCTTTTTCTGGAGAAAGTATTCAAAATAAGCGCAAGCTTCTGAGAAAAGATATTCCAAATGTCGTTTTATGAGGGCGGTTTGCTTTTACAGTTATACGAACGATACTTTTTACAGAACGATACTTTAAATATTTTTTTATTTGCAAAAGTATTATAATTAAACATTCGATTCTTGCGTCTCTCATTGAAAATTGCAGACTAAACTTAATTTTTATTAATAAAGTAATATGAAAAAATGCACAATATTTCTTGAATTCTCATAAAATTTATTTAACCTTTAATTTTTATAAAAAATTAGTATCAATATTAATTAATAATATACAAACTGCCATCATTGTACCATTTTATCATTTTATCCTGGCACCTATCTTTCACATAGTAATAATAAATATCCTTTTCTTAATTAGGTTATTTGAGTTTTTTATACCTAATAGATATACAGGGTGTTTCCAAATTAAATGGCAAAACTTCGGGAGCGTGTAGAGGAGTAAAAAACTAAGAAAAAAAGTCCTATAGACATATGCTCCTTTTTGCTTTGTTTCGCAGGAAATCACGAAAAAAGAAAAAAATATATTTAATTTATTATTTTAATTATTTTATTTATAAACTTTTTAATGAAGATTTTGTTCGAAATGTGCACCTCTTGCAGCAATACAAGCATTGCATCTGTCAAACACGGCTCTTGTAGCAGCCAGGCACTTAAAGCATTACCGTTGCAGAAACCGTATACAAAAACCATATCAGCATATTCACTATTAGAATACGTACGCGGCATATTGCAAAAGACAAAATTCATCTACTATTAAAGGCTTTCAAAGAGCGACTGACAAATTCATAACAGAAAGTGGAAAATGTAATCAAATATGTCGGTGCTAGATATGGCAAGAAATGTAAACATTTTTTTTCGATTTCTCTGAAACGGAGCAAAAACGAGCATATGTCTATAGGACTTTTTTTCTTAGTTTTTTACTCCTCTACACGCTCCCGAAGTTTTGCGATTTAATTTGGAAACACCCTGTATACAATAATAAAATTATTAATTATGGAAATATTTAATGTCCTGTAGATTGGACATTGATTTTCATTATTTGATTTTATTGAAATATCTGATATGTGTATATAATAAAATTATTAATTATTTCAAAATATTTGATGTTTTGTAGATTTTTTACACAAAGACTGAAAGTCTTAAATTGTGAAAACATAAAAAAAACTCAATAGGGTATCTGTATAGGGCAATGTACTTCAGAGTGCCGGTTCAGATTCCAGCGGGGAAAAAGAATGTATTAAAGAAAAAGTGGTAAACCCATTTAGTCCCGTTTATAAATATACGGTCTACCGTGCGGTTCTTTTAGTAGCTCCTTTCATATCCTCTTGACCATATTTCTAACACACACAGTCGCTTCGACTGATTCAAATTTACTATTGTTTCGTACTTAGATTTGGTTTATTATAGCATAACGCCGTAAAGTAATAAATGAAGATTTGATACATCATTGTTATTTTAAATGCACATGATTTATTATTGGATAAATTCGTGTCTTCGACGATGGGGAAATTTTTAAGCGGTACAAGCAAGAGCAAATTTTGATTTTACACCCTCGAAATGTCGCTCGATAGGCACGCCGAAGGAAAGTGGCGCGATTTAGGTATGCACGTACGAGGAAAAATCTCGACGAACGAGCGTGATCGCTCGTTACAAGCACTGAATTTAATCGACCATCAAGCACGAGTCGAGATCGCCATGCCGTCACGGTCGTCCCTCCAAGGACGTGTCTCGAGAGTCATCTCGTTACACGGATACGTACATATAAGTGCGTGATTTATTCGCTCTGGTCGAATCGTAGAACGGAGTAATATCACGCCGTGTGTAATGCAATCGTTTCGACGCACAGCGCCGAGAATCGACGTCTCGCATTAAATGTCACATTCTAAATAGCGAACCATTACGTAAAGCAAACTGCCGTAAATCCTTCCCTTGATACAGAAGCGTACGTATCGTCGTCATCGCCGTCGCGGTCGCAGCCATGGGACTTTCCCACGTTACTTGCTCGAAGAAAGTCACGAAAATGACCCTAATTCGCCGACATTAGGCAGAGAAAAAAAGAAGGCGACGAAAACGAAAGTAGATCTTTTTTTTTCTTGGAGATTAATCACATAATAACGTATATCGAAAAATTAGGATATTTAACTGATGCCTCCCTTTTTGTTCAACATCATAAGCCTTGGTTATACTTTCGAAAAAAAAAAAAAGATTAGTGAGTCCCAGATCTTCTTACTACAAAAAGAGCCAATTAACTCTAATGACGGTTACAAAATACGTGGTTGTAATAAAGTAATTTATAGCAGTTGTTTTTGTTATAAATGTTTACACACATAAAAATTTATTTTCAGATTATTATAAATCCGTTCCACAAATAACAATTTTTTGCATTGTACTTTTTATACCTTTTAATTTTAATCGCTTTTTTTAACTGAAACACGATGATAGAGTATTAAAAAGTGGCTATGGAATATAAAAATATCTCTCATAAGGAATAAATAAAAAAGTGAGGCTTGTCAATATCGCAAACTTTGAGAGTGATTATACGTGTCGTAGATATATTGAAAAGAATAGGAGGTGACGTGAGGAAAGGAGTAGGAAAAGACGAGAAGAGAGGGTACCAAGTGAAGCCCCTCCCTCATCAACTCCCACCATGAACCGGAGAAGGATTATCCGGTCCCTCCAGCAGAATCCCCACCAAGTGGTCTGACAGGACCCACAACCCACCTGTACCACTCGGCTAGACTGTGCATGCTTCTCCGCTGATCTGACGCACAGTATGCCTATAAGGCCCATTCGAGATATACTTACGAGAGCGCACGAGCGAGTCGCGCAGCAAACGAGCGAGCGAACGAACGGAGCACCGATCCGGCAGTCGAAGTGGGACCACGGAAAATAAACGTGCCGAAGTGGGGGTCGATTCAAGAATCGATGTGGACACCCTCGCCTACCAAAGTCATTCACCTAACGGTCATCGGCGCGTCAAGAGTCTTCATCTTCTTCCGTTATCCGGTCTCGCCAATCGCAGAGACTCGCGTTCGCCATCGATCGGTTTGCAACCTGTTGTGCGAAAGAAGTTTAAGTAGAGTGACGGAGTTTAAATAGAGAATACACAGACATTTTATCTAATCCGAAGTTCCGGAACTGCCCGCAAAAATAGAGTGATGACTTCTCAATAAACAATTTTGAACAGTGCTTAGTAAAATTGTTAAGTTAATTATGAGAGACTTTTCAAAAAATGTTCTCGTTTTAGTGAATATGTATCCCTTAGTGTGTGACTGATCGTGCGTTTTTGTGTCATTTTGCTTCTACCTGTGAACGCCTGAGGACAATGGACAAAATCTTACTAAAATATTGTAAAATGGAGAAGTGTACAATCAGGAGACAATTCCTCAAGAAACAATTGTGATACAATGGAACGCTGAAGTCACGACGAATGCTGATTATATCTGCATAACGTTAATCCATTATAACAATAAAAGTACGTAATATTTTGTGATAGTCTATATTATAATTGCTTGAAAGTTGAAGCCAGGATTTGTGCGCAAGAAACAATATTGAATCGCAATGCATATCGAAATTTTGAACGCGACATCTCATTATTCTTGATATTATTCTTCAGAAACATCAGTCTAATAATGTGTCAAAAAATTATGTATATATAGAATGATTTAAAAGACATTTATTTCAAGCCACAATCGTAACATAGAGACCGCGATATGTCATTCAACGATTCAGCTTATTGTTAGCATAAAATATATCCACATGGAAAGAATTATTTTCCACACTGAAAGATCTAAAATTTTGCTGGTCAGATCTGAAAACAATTTTGTTGGATTATAAACATAATTATAGAAATTGGAAAATGATCAATGCTGCAAAAAAATATTGATATTCTAGCAAGACATTCTAGTTTGAATTTCTAACAAAATTATTTTGATCGTAACACAATTCTTTCAGATCCGTATATAATCCAGCAAAATTTTAAATCTTTCAGCAAAATCATTCTTTCCGTGCAGTTAACTTTCAACGCGTGTTGAGTACAATAACTAATTTACTAGATATGCTTGCGCTCGGGAATCGTATTTGATGCAGTCTTAATGATATTGAACCGTGTAATTCCGCGTCATGCCTCGGAAACGACAGTGTGATCGAGCACGCGAGAGCGATGAGAATCTGCCAGGCAATCGGTTCGTCGCGGATTAGGCACCGCGATGAGTTTTCGGTCGCGGCTCGTCAGTCCTGATGAACGCGCGTGCGTTGCCGACCCGTTCGTCTTCGTAAACCGTGGAATTTACTCGCGGCATCGCGCCGCGACGAATCGTCCGTGCGTTCGATCGAGGGCCGGTTACGACAATAGAATCGGAAATAGCGCCGCGGTGCATTGCGTCGCGCGCAATGCGAAGGCCGATCGGCAGAAACGCGCGCTGCGGAACGCCGCTCCGTTTCGAAAGAACGGAAGTCACTCTTTGCAAACTGGAGCCATCGCCGAGATGAGGTTGCACGATGCCGGAATCGCTTCCCCGCAGGACGATCGCTTGCTCCATCGATAAACGCGCGTCTAGATAATTAGCGCGAATAGATGAGCGAGTGATCGAAACGGTAGCATCACGAGATAGCGAGAAGAATCGCCGTCGGCCGCCGGGACGTTTTGATTCACGCAATTCTATCGAGATAAGTCTTTTCGCGAAAAATAAAAAAGAAAGTAACATTTGCACACAACAAGAACCCTAACATTGTATGTTTTTTTAGTGTCGACCTTAACCAAAGTAACCCATAAAAATGTAGTTATAAAAGAACCCTTCGAATATATATTTTCCGTTTTTTTTCGTACGTAAAAGAATTTCTCTATGTCTTTGGAACAGAATGCATAAAATGGCAAAACTTTTCACTAACGAGAAAGAGTGAAGCGAAAATGTTTTTTTTTTTTCGGCTTAAAAAAATGCGATAAAAAAGTACAGAATACCCGTTTTCTTTTTAGGAAGAACTCTTGCTTTCTTCTAACAAAATAAATATAAGGACATTTATCTTAGATATGTAAGAGTTAAAAGCCGATTAAAACTAGCTATTGTGTACGCTTTTGAAAAAGAATTTTGCTTTGCCATTTTCAATGGTTTTAACCTTTTTTTTTCACATATAGCAACACAAAAAAATCGCAACGCAAAAAATTTCAAATTAAAGTGAAAGTGCATTTCCAATGAATTATTTATAATGCTGTTATTTATTAAGTTAACAGAAAAAATCTTTCTCCAAGTATAGAGAGATATATACTTAATTAGATTTACTGAATTCATCTTTTCACTTTAGCTAAATAAAGTGAATGAAATCTATATATCAATGCTACTGTAAAGGCATTTTTTTTTTATAATGTTTTTCGTCTTTTTCGAGTAATTGCGTCATATCTTTGGAATTTCCTGAAATTGTGTAGTCTACTTCTGTCTTCCGTAATTCTAAAGTATCGACACTACTAGCTCCACTGCGAGATGCAGAGCATATAGACTGGCTGATTACAGTTTTATTTCTTTTTTGGTGCGTACATTCTTGTGCGACTTTATTGTCACATGTTTCGGAATTACGATCGTATAATAATTATTGCGATCATAAAATTCTTTTTACTCGATTTGTTAAGGTTCACTACGCTTCGATGTTTAATTTAGCGAAAACATAAAATTATATTGCACAACAACGTAATATTATTTCTATTTAAGTAGTTTTTCTCTCTCATTATTGCATGCCTTCCCTTTAACGGACATATGCAATTCAATTAAATTACGATTTCGATTAAATTTAGATTAAATTTGATGCTGTACGCCTAAAAAGATCTCCTATTAAGTTTAAAAGTAAACTCTACTCTATCCTCCTACGAGAAAGATTTTTTTTTATGATAAAAGATATAGTGGATGATCGAGAAGGTCAATATGGAAAAGGAGAACAAACGCGGTGCGATTCGCAGAAATTATGACGATCGGTCGCTTTATAAGCATCTTGACAGATGTTCACCTCGCAACCATCATCAATGATCATCGGGCAGAGACTTTGCGCGGGAGTACGTTACGATTCTTACGGCTCGCCTGGATCTGCTTGGCACAACAATTGCACGCGATTCACAAGGTCAAGCCTCGTGGCGGTCCCCGACGATCTTGGCGATGACCGTTGCCGCCGAGATCTGCTGGTGATGATAATATGTACCAAGTCTTGTCGCCATATGTCGAGAGTACCTTTACATCCGCAAAAGCGGACCGCCATCGTCGTTCGACGCAAATCGAAGCTATCCGGATGGTTTACATTGCCAGAGCTCGGGTTCGCATTCCCGTGTCCGGGTGTTGCGATGCAACGTCTCATTATGATTAGCGTAAAGAAGATAAAAGTCGAACTCTCTCGTTGCCGCAAGGAAACGTAAGATTGTCGGAAAATTGAAAGGAAGAAGACACACAATAATAGCTCGCAATCTTTAATACCGCGTGCAGAGTCGCGCGGGTTATTACGATTACAGAGCCGTGAATCAGCTATTTACATGCGCCAACCACGGCGGCCAGAGATTGGCATAACAAGTGCGCGGCGACCACTTATCGTCGCCGGACGTAATTGTAAAATTCCCGATTACGCCGAATAATTCTCGCGAAGCAAGATAGGTAGATACTAGATAGCTTTTATTAATCGCTGGGTAAAACCAGAACGTCGTCCATAGGTATCGCGAATAAGAAGCATTTCTGTCACGGTCTTGCCTATTTTTATCGATTCTTTAATCCTCAAGGTTTTTATTCTCAATATTTCTGTAGAACTAAAAATTTAGTTCTATATAAATATGCTATACACTTTCTTAAAAATTATTTTCAAATTATGTCATATTTAGGAACATTATAAATAAATAATATATAGAATAATAAATAATTTTATAAAGTATTAAAAAGTATTAAAAAAAAAACATGTGTGTTATATACACACACAGAAAACAGTTTTGCTAAAGTATCTAAAAAAGCTAGATACAAATATAAAAATCATTTTGTTGAGTCATCAAAATAGTTATATAGAACGCTTAAGCATTTATGATAATGCTGCAGTTTTAAAATTATAACAACTAGCCTGAATGACCTACATAAACACTTTAACGATCCAAATAAAATTATTTTCAAAATTATTTTATCTATATTAATTTTAAATATTTGAGCAAACTGTTCCTTCTCTGCAAGAATTTACAATTTATTGATACTATTATTTATAGTTTATGATCTAATATTTTTAATTTTCATAATATATATAATTATATATATTTCATGATTTCTTTCATTATTACGCGGAATCTAATCCGTTAACCCAATTTGATTTTATCTGACGACATTGTGTTGTGTTCTGTTGCGACATCTCGGCACGACAACAATATCATTTAAACATCGCAATTGCATCGGCATGGAACGCATTGCCATGCATAGAAATCACCAAGTGAGACTTACCTGTTACCGGATGCACACCTCTAATCAACGCAGGTTACCATTGATCAGACACCGTTAAACCATATCTGTTTATCATCAAAGAAATATCATGCAGCTTTTATCTGTGAAAAATTAAAGCAATTAGGTTTACAAAATGAGAACCCTTGAGGTTGTCGCGCTAATGAAATTATACCGAATAATTCGACTACGGTTGAGAGACGCCCAGCGATGTCGCTCGGTTTTGTCGGTCGTCGAGCGCCATCGAGCAAGTCGCGATACCGCCGATTTTTCGATGACTTTAGAAAAATATCGTAAACTGTGGTGACGGAACGATCACGTAAGAAGAGATATCTACGCCCCGAACGTGACTCGAAATAATAAAGAATAAATTATCAGGCGAGAAACGGATTTTACATCAAACAGATCGACCACCGTGAAATACTCCCGCGACGGTGATTGTTGCGTGGCGTGATAGGAAGTTATGAATGCAAAGTAAGATAAAAAAAAATACAAAACTACAAAAATACAAACACGGAATTGCAAGCGTGAACCGCGTAGGTATGCCGCAGCAAGAGCGACGGTATCTGCAAATGATAAGTGTCAACGACTGTTGGGTGTAGGTCAGGAGAGACTCCGTTGATCAAACAACGTAAATGTCTTTTCCATTAGTTGAAATTTACTTTCCCATTTAGCGACAATCCGTCACGTATGAAAGTCGTTAGAGGTTGTGCCCTGAGACCGCGGTGAACATTTGGGTCACCACTATTGTCCCATATTTTCATGATCGTTAAACATTTTGATAAAAAAATATCCAAAGAATGTTGGAAACGATCGAACGAGAAGAGAGGGAAACGATACCTATACATAATAAAAAGAGGAGACATGTGAAGAAACGTTATGATAGGAGACCATCCCGTCATGTTTCTGATCGCGGTATCGTTCCGCTGGTCTACACAAATGCACGTTGTGCAAGGGATCACGGCGTGAAATAAGAGCGACGAGGTGTGAAAACGAGACCGCGGAGCCACGGTCCGTTTTCTGGACGATCGACCAAAGAAGGCGAAAGGAGTCGGCGAGGAACTCGATAGGAACGGGCACGAGAGAGAAGGAGAGATAGAGACAGACGGGAGAGAAAAAAAGCAAGCGCGCAAGAGTTTTCCGCTCGTTGAACGTAACACACACCGCTTTGCCACGATCCAGCGATTCGCGCTCGCGCTGCACTGCAAAGCGGCGCATTATGCAACGCGCTTCTTCTCTTACTCAATCGTGCACTCGATCGGTGTAGGCGCACGATAAAGATTGCATCGTCGACTTGTCAAAGATACCGCGCGTCCGATCCACTTCTCGTTTCCGTCGTGTAATCGTTGGAAGAAGCATCGGACGATCGTAGTAGTGTCGCAAATAATTTCAATATATCTAATAGTCCGTTAGTTTCTAATATTTCTCAACGTTTTCTCACAAATCGTTCGGAAAATATTTAATACGAGAATGACAATGTAACATTAAGGACCAAGTGAAAAACTAAATAATTAAATAAATTAGTAGAGCAGAGATATTTAAAAAAAATTTCCGACAAATTTTGCTATTGTCATCTTAACACTGCCTTTAATACTATAAAGACAATACATCTAGTGAATAGAATTAATTTAGATATACCATTGTATACAATTATCTTGTTTACAATTAATTGAAAATTTTGGCTATGCATGCATATATATATATATATATATATTACCAGTGAAAATGTTCAGCGTCTTTTAAGAAAACTTCTATATTTGAAAAAAATCTAAAAAATAGAACGATACATAACATGTTAAGAAGATCGTGATTACAACTTATGTCAATATCAATTGAATTTCACCACCTGTGAGTTAATGCTAAGAGAAAAAATAAATCAAAGGGCTTACTGTAACACTAGGTTAACCTATATTTTGTATAATAAAAATGTGTGAAGTCTAATCATTGAAAAGCATAGGCAAAAGGAAAGGAACAGTATTAATTCACGGTTTCTGATAAATTGAATCTGTTATTCCCTGTTCTTATTGCTTTTTAATTGAAATCCACTATTTCCCATCTTACTTTAATTTTAGAGTTTATTTTCTCCTTTTTTAAATGTAGGTTAACTCATTGTTGTAGTAAGTCTTTAAATTATTAGAATAGTATTATAAACGTTTAAAATGATATTAAACAACGAAATTTCTGTCCGGTTTGATGTTACGTCTGTAACATCAAAAATGTTCCTCTCATTTAATTACCGAAGTATTGTTTTCACGTTCCAATGCAAAATAATTCATTTGTACACAGCCAGCTTGTTAATGTATTTAGAAATCGATTATATTCTATTGCAGATGAACCAACAGTGCAAGGTGTGTGGCGAACCAGCGGCTGGCTTCCATTTCGGTGCATTCACCTGCGAGGGTTGCAAGGTGAGTCTTACTGTTTAATTTTTCTCTTTCTCTGTCTCTTTCTTTTTTTCTCTTCCCCACAATTGCGCAGCGTAAGAGTAAATTGAAAACCAATCAACATGCGATTATATATAACGTGAATTTGCTACTCTATTCAAATTTAAATCTACATCACTACGGTTCTCGATAGCAAAAAGCTTTTAAAATCTACTTTTTATCTAAAATTTACTTTTTATATAAATATTTAATACTTATATAATCATACTATCATTATTTTCATTAAAAAGTATTATAACCAGGGTTTTTCAACCGATATATCGAGACACATTGACATATCACAAAGAATCTTCAAAGTGTGCCGTGAAAATTTTAGAGAAGATAAAAAGAAGCGAAAAAATTTATTAATAAAAAAACGAGTATATATATATATATATAAGGCGCGATGAATATTTTAAAAATTATGAAAATTACCTAAATTATATTGTGTTTACTGTCATTTTAATCAAAGCAATATCATTATTGCAATAAAATGACTTTTAAAACAATAAAATAAAGACTAAACTTTACAATTTTACTATTTATTTTTGAATTAACGGTATCTAACAAAAGATGTTGACAATGAGTACTGAAGCGTGTGCATCTAATTTATACGTCATTATTTTTACTTCGATAAATTTAGCTCGTCATTTAACGTGCCGTTAATTGAGAAAGATTGAAAAACGCTGATATATGCAAATTAAATGAAAAAAAAAACAGAATTGATGATATAAGACCGAATCCGAACTTGTATCTTGTACTTTGCGTTGTACGCTCGAGATACCTATAAAGAGAGATCCACGTTCCGGAGAATCACTCTACCGAGAGGCAGTGGACGTGAAGGAAATCAGTCTCACCGTCGAAAAAGCGAGTCCGCGATCAAGAAGAAAGAACCTCGTTCCTGATCTATCGCTCTAATAGTCGAGTTTTCCTCGCCGGTTTATTTGCGCTCTTTCTCGGCCGCCGCGATGGAGAACTGCGCTGCCAGGGCGCCGCTCTTTCCCGCGGTTTCGCAAAAGCCCACAAGCCGGCAACGAGCGATCGCTTTCACGAACCGCTCCGTGGCCGAGGTTAAACGTTCGGCCAGGCATGCGTGTCAACCTGGTCCGAGATAGTCCGAAAGCAGCGAATGTACGTGCGCGTGATTCAGTTAAAACGCAACAAACTGATCTCTGCGTCGCATCAGCGTTGAAAAAGTCGCTCGCTCGAAGCGTGAAGCGCTCGAAGAACGAGCTGAAGCGAGAAAAATGTTGACGGCGGGGGAGGACCGCGGGATCGCGCGGAGAAGGGAGAGCTGACATGCTACGATGGGCCTGAAAACGAAAATAACGAAACGAAACAATGTCGTGCTGACGTAATCGTGAACTAGGGCGGAAACAATTGTGGCGGACAAGTGCGAAGCGCCGGAAGCGGCGTCTCGAGGCGGCCCAGCAATCAGAACGAAAAAGGGGAACCTCTAGCGTGCGCCTAGGGTCCTGCTCCCTTTTCCTGTTGAATAATTAGCTCTTAATTAAACTCTTAATTAAACTCTTAAATGTGGAACTACAAACATCGTAGATGAACGCTCATTGCGTAAGACAAAAGAGGCAGGATTAAGAGAGAGAAATGAAGAGACAAATTTATTTCGAATAATTATCAACTTTCGCTCGTTAGCATCACAGCGGTCGTTGATCGACACTCAAGTCGAAATTTTGCTCCTACTTTGAACCTTAGTTTTAGGACGTATGTAGACTCTAGAGATTTATAATAGGTTCTAATCTCTAATGAATTGAGCTCCTACGTCGAACGTGTAAATGGCAGTTATTGCAAGATTTCCTATTTTTTTAGGTTCAAAAGAAGTTTTCTAAATAGAAGCTGTAGATTAAGTAATATTGAAAGAGGTCCTATTTGATTGTTCAAGTATCAAAACAAGTTTATGAGGTTTAATTGAGGTTGAAAGAGATTGAAAGTAGGACTAAAATTTCGACTTCGAGATAGCTGCAGCTATCTCTGAATCCATTCGAATTTATAAGTGTAGTTACGGCGAGATACCACTCTAATTTTCAAAATTCTTTGTTTTCTCTCTACTTCGTGAGTATACTAAATGAGTTTCCCAAAGACCCAATAATTGTCCAAACGTAGTGCTACGAAACGAGCATAGCGTGGCTTCCAAGTAGGACCGTTTGCATAACTTCAGCATGCGCGACGAACGAAGGGGACGTACAGCCAGGGTCCGGGGAAAGGGGAACAGATAATAACGGTAGCATTTTCTCAATTGTGTCATCGCTTCTGAAGCGTCGCGCGTTCCTTTTCTTCCTCGCGTAAGCGTCGCCCCCAAGAAGGTGGAGGACAAACGACGACGACATCGACGGCGAAAATAAGTGGAACGCGATGCCGGCCCATAGGTCTCGGCAATGCGCGCATCGGGACCACCAGGCCGCAGGAAGAGCTCGTTTCCAGAACAAACGAACCAGAAACGATTAATAATATGGCGTGCGTACAGGCAGAAAAAGCGAAAGTGGACAACGCGGCCGCGTGCGTCCCTTTAAACGCTCGCCGATTCGCGATGTGACATTCTGCTGTGCACCGAGCGACATATAAACCGCGACGATTGGGAAATTCTAGCCATCAATCCAAGCGAGGCGAGCCGAAACTGTAGTCTCGCAACGACCTGGCTATAAAAAGTAATAATTCGCAACAGCGATACATTTTAAACCGTTTAACATCTTGCACAAAATTAATGTATAATATATTCTTAGAATAGAGAGAGAGAGAGAGAGAGAGAGAGAGAGAGAGAGAGAGAGAGCATTCTGTAAAATATTTTACGTGAAACGCAATTTGGCAATTTATTGTTTTGTTATCAGAGAGGACCGATCTTGAAATAAAATTAAGACCGCGCCATTCATTACAATCGTGAGATATATAGAGCGATAGTATTTTTGTGTTTCCCTTTATGCAAAAAGAGAGAAACAGAGAGAAAGAAACATAAACGACAGAGTGGGGGTCGTTGTTCCCCATCTCCGGTACGAAAGCAACAAGCGTAGTGTCGGAATCACGTGGAATTGCACCATTTGGGCAATTAGCACGAGAACAGCAGGCCGCACGCGCCTCCGACCATCGACCCCGCCACACCTCTCCTCTCCTGCTCGTGCTCCATGAATGAGACAACGAGAGTGTACGGTTACACGCTAACGACTCCGGCGTTGTATTTGTTACAAGTGTTACAATGCCGTTTGTTGCAGTGTCGCGCCGATAGTTTCCAAGCCTTTCGTCTCTCTTCGCCGTTCTCGCTGGAACGTGGCTTGCATGATGATTCCAAGATACCGTTGACGACGAATCGATGATGAATCCATAGCATGATTTTATTTTTTGTAAAATATTATTTTCAACAGAAGCATCGCATACTTGTAGGAAACAGAAAAATCGATTTTGCTGAAGTATCTAAAAATTTAGGTAAATACAGATCTGAAAATAATTTTGTTGGATCATCAAAATAATTATGTAGGAAACTCAAGTATGATGAGAGTAATACTGCAAAAAGTTTTGACATTCCAGCAATCAGTTTAAACATCATTATTATTTTGAACCTAACAAAATTATTTTCAGATTTAGCTAAATTTTTAAATACTTTAGCAATACTATTTTTTCAACAACTGTTTTTTTACAACAAAAATTATTCCTAGAATTACATATTGATCTGTAAAAAACGCGTTATATATTTCAAGTTCTTAACGTTCCGAAGAATTTAAAGTTTTGAAATTTAACAATGCTATAAAAAAATGCTGCAAAAATACGATATACACATTTCCATTCTTTTTTTTATACAATAAATATGCTATGCCTTATTTCTTGCACTTAATGTTTTACAAATAAAATTAAATTTTTTGTGTATAATGAATTTTTTACTGGAAAATTATTTATTTATGTATCTTTCAGCGTAATTTATATTTTCCTTTATTTGCATATCACTGCATCAACTCGATATATTAATTTTTAATGTTAATTAATTTTAACTGCAAATGAACGCATTTCGCATGCAGTACATTAGTGCTAATTGGCTCGACCATGGTTCTTATTGTTGCAGTCTTTCTTCGGGCGCTCGTACAACAACTTGAACAGCATCGCCGATTGCAAGAATGACGGCAAGTGCGTGATAAATAAGAAGAATCGCACCGCGTGTAAATCTTGCCGCTTAAGGAAATGTATCTTCGTCGGCATGTCTAAATCTGGCTCGCGATACGGTCGCAGGTCGAACTGGTTCAAAATCCACTGTCTATTACAACAGCAACAGCAACAAGAACAACAGCAGCAGCTAGAGCAACATCAGATGCAACAGCAACAGCCACTGCAACAGCGTCAGCAGCATCAGCAGCAACACTATCAACCGGCTATTCTTATGTCGCACCAACTGTCGCAACAGCAACGTAATCCAACGAGTTCGCCTATCCATGGCATTCATGGTAATCAGTGTAGGGACGAAACCTTGATGATGAACGCGGACGACTACAAAAACTCCAACTCGCCTAACATAAGTTCGCCCGAGTCCCACAATAGCGACAGTTCCGTCGATGTCTCTGAAAGGAGAGCGGCCTTCGCCGGACATCCCGGTATCCGACCGCTTCCGCACTTGCCACCAGTTGATTTGTCTGCGCTGAGTCTGCCATTAGGCTTTCCTCTCAGCGGTATGTCTCTTTTGCCGTCGCCCTTCATACCACCACCTAGCATCGCCATATTTCCACCCTACGCTCACGTATATGCGACGTCACACAACACACCCCATCATCTCATGGCGAATCATCCGTCCAGTATACCACAACGTTCGCCAGTGACTACGAGCGATGAAAACGATGAACCCACAACTGCCACGACGTCGACCGTGACAACGACCACAGCTACGACGACCGCGTTAAGAATCTCAACGTCGTTAGCCTATAACAAAGACTCTTACGAAAAAAATAACAATAACGACCGATTCTGCTTAGATATGGTCTTAAAGAGCGAGCAAACGTCGGAGAGACCGCGGAAGGGAATGCGTTCCGAAGATAACTCAACCGAGTGCAGTCCGGAACGGGAAATCACTTGTTCACCACCGCAAGATAATCCGATGGATCTTTCCATGAAAACCGTCGCGACACCCGATCGTTTACAAAAGGAAATAGACGATGAAATAGATAATGCCAGTGATGCAGAAAACTCAGCTGCAAAAAAACCCATAGATTTAACGACAAGATCCTAAGATCTGATTATAATTCAAAAGAATGAGGTGATTGAGATGAAACAAGGATGTTCTTCTTTCTTCTCTAATGGACATCTGTTCCTATTGGGACAAAGTGTATCACGCTTTATTTAAATTTACTCACCTATAATTGTTCTTCAGTTTTATTTTATTTCAAAACCGGGAATGTAATAATATTATTATTAACTTCACAATTCACATGGAGAATGCAAGGGAGATTGTTTTTTATCTCGTTATTCTCTGGTTACAAGATCCCGTGTACACGAATAGCTTCCTCGGTTGCGTGTCCTGTCGTTCATATGCACAGGATCGCTATGGATTAACTTTCAAAAATTCGTGTCGTTTGATATTAGAAGCGGTACGCCACAAAACCAAATGTTTTCCACGGCTTATCTCTGGTTTTATTTAATCAAGAGCAATCGTAATTGAGCGCTAATAACAAACATTACATTTCGTTCAATAAATGTGAACTCGAAAAATGATTTGTTTATATCGATTAGATTTTTAAATAACGAAATAAAATACATTAATGAGGCACTTGCGTTGATATGTATATTTATTATTAACGTTATTAGCGAGAGAACGAATTTCATATTAATTTTCATATTAATTCTATATACTCGAATTGGCATTTAAAATACGAACCAAGGAAAACAGTCTTAAAGAATAGCACTGCCTCTTCCAATTCAATAGAAAAACTTTTTATTCTTCATTCTGTCTCTCTCTCTCTCTTTCTCTCATACAACTTTCTTCTTCTATATAAGAATTATATGCCGAAATACATTTTTTATTCAGCACGTAAAATTTTTTTGTACAAATTTAAATTTACTTTAATATCATCATCGTATAATTTTTCTGTTAACTTCTTAAGATAATTCAATTATTTCTAACACATATGTCGTATCTCGGTAATATAATATTGAAATAAAAATGGAGTTGAAAGTAGTGGGAAAATTTTGGTTAAAAAATCATCATTAGAAATTGGAAAATAAGTTGACATGCACAAATCATTGTACATATATACATATATATATCTATTATACAACATACATAAGTATACGATTAGTTGTAGATATATCTCGTGATTTAGGAAAATTAATAAAATGTATTCGATTATATTTTATCATTGGAATTTTTATAGACAAACGAAATTCTTTATAGAAAGCTCATAACAAAGCTAATAAAAAAAAATAGATTAATGATGGACAGATTTTATTACTTTTCCATTAATTATTACTCGTGCAAATTTTTAATTTCCAAAGTATCTGACATGTGAGAACGTAAAATAAATTGTATTTCAATTACATTGTTTAATGAAACAAATTTTTCAAAAAATGTAATTACACTCAATAAAAAAATTAACAAAATTTTCTAAAAATCATAATTTCAAAAAAGCCTATTATATTATTCTATGAAAAAAAATTTTTTTTAATACAAGGTTAATTTTTAAAAATTCTCATATTGTCAAACCAAAATTATAATTGATTGATTACATGAGACACAATGTATTTGTATTTACTTTATAATTGTATTCTTTTTTATTTTAAATATATCACAAAACATGTATAAAATATTTTCAAACTATTTTATATATTCTAATGTTAAATCAGTGCATGTTCGCGAGCGAAGTTATCGAAAAGATGAAATCTGTTTATTGACAATAGTCAAAGTGAAAAGATGATTGTATGCGAATTTTAAAAAAAATTGTACGCTTGTTATAATAACAAATATAATATAATTTCAAAAAACTATTATTGTAGTAAGATTTCTGTATAATCTAAATGAAATTATACTGATCGTGACAGCGAGGCATATTGAAGAATCTTATTTTCAAACCAAAACACAAGAATTATAGATTTGAAGAGATGAAGTTTGATAACAAGATTAAAAAAAATTCTCAAGCGAGATGTTAAAATCAGCTGTAAATAAATATTCAAAGAAAACTTGTCTTTCAACGGATTTGTTTTTTAACAAAATCCAAAGTATATATTCCAAAAATACAGCAAAAACAAAAACGCAAAAAGATAATTTGTGAAAAATCATGATAATTGTTTTATTTCCTTGATCATTTCAGAATTCCAATTTAGTTCACATAAAATATATGTGAAGGAAATTACGTCACGAACTCAATGATATATAAAAATGTAAAAAGTTATGAAAGCTTTACAAAAACGAAATGCAATAAACTCTAGGATACTAGCAAAATTAATAATTAGTATAAATAATTAGTCTAAATACTTTTTAGATATTATAAAAGTTAAAGAGTTCAAATTTATATTTATTTATTGTAAAATAAAATAATAATTTGTAATGTCAACTTATATAATTTCCATTCCTTAATTTCTTGTTTTGAACGGTAGAAAAATGTATATTTATGTTATTGAAAAACATTAAATATAAATTTTTTTCGTAGAAAAATTCTGTATTAATATTAATATTACTTTCTCATTTTTTTAATAATATAACGTACCAAATAAATATTGACGCAAGAATTATATAGCCGTCTAATCGATTTCGAATTATTTTTATATCCCTGAAAGCATATGTAACGCAGGACATATAATACACAATATATATATAAAATGTTATATATATATATTAATATACGTATACGTTTACATGGGCATGTGTGTGCATGTATGTTTAGTATGAAATTGTATTGTGTGTGATAGAAATGTTAGATCTTGCACATATGTTAAATTCGAAAGGTACAAATTTAAAGTAGCTCACTTTTCACTCTATGCATGGTCACGGGGTTACGTAAACGTGAAGCAATAGGATAACAAGAGTGATAAACAATAAAAAAGCGAAGTAAGATGTAATAACCATGAGCACTGATGGCGGCATTAGTCATTAGTATTAGATATAATGGCCATAATATTGTCACGGTTTTTCGCGACGTCGGCTATAAACATGTAGCAAACTGACGTTTAATTCGTCTATGTTAGTATTATAAAAAATTAGGAAATTGATCACATAGCAATACTTTCAAATATACAGTATTTCTAAGTCTTATTGCAAATAAACAATGCAGACGAATAAATATAAATAAATCTAACAAGGGCGCTTCGTACATGCTACGTTTGCAAAATCCAATTTTAAATAAAAAATGTACATATAATATCAATTGTAAATATAACATTGTAATTTTCTGTATTTCATATTTTATTTTATATATTATACATATGTATATTTTATTTTATTCTATATTTTATTATATTTTCGATATCCAAAATACTGGAAAATTCCATAAATAGATTTTTCACGCTCTTAACTCTAGAAAATCTATTCTACAAGGACGTAAAATTTCAATATGTAACTATATTTATATAACTGCAAAAACAAAAATAGGAATTTTATCTCTGTGCCTATAGTACAAACATTCGCGGTCAGTCGACACTAACGAAAAATAAGATAAAATCTATGTTATAATTTCGCTCTCAATTATAAATGTAATATAATACATGGTGTTATATAACAGTTTGTTGAATGCGAAATTATAACATAATGTTATGTTACTTTTAAATGGGGAGCATGTAACTGGCACAAAAGAGCGATGCAACGATCTGACAATGAAATACACATGTGTTGAATGGCCGCGTGAATGGCGTGTTTCGCAGCATCCCCTAATTACCTTCTCACTCGCATACAACCGAAATCCCGTGCCTCCTTATTTTGCACGAGCACGCGTGCTCTATTCGCACGAGCGAGTGTAGAGGGAAGAAAAGAAATTGCGACGGCCGACGTCTCAATTCCGAAGCAGGCGAGCCGCCGATCGATGCTTGCTTGCGCAACAACCAATCGCCTTTAACGAGATTCCGCCGTTTTAATTAACGAGCGCGCGAGCCAGCATCGTTCGCTCGCTCATTCGCGGTAATCACGCGGGACGAAGATGAACGACGGAGGACGCGAGCGTCGTCCGATGAACACATCACGGCACACACGTGTACGCATCAATGTACAGGTATACGACGTCGGTAGCCGTTTTATCTTACAAACGCCAGCACCGATGTTGTTTCCGGTACGACGGCGTTCTCCGTGAATCTCTCGTCCTCCCGTGGTACATACAGTTGATAGCGAGAAAGTATCCACGAGACGAAATTTAAAGAAATTAATAGTGTAGTTTTCTTTTTACATTTATTTATCTTCTTTTTTTTAAAAGATAACGGAATAGCTACTTGACTTTAACAAACAGCTACATAAAGAAGACATAAATTCAAGAGACTTGTGTAATTTATTTCAATTCTTATGAGAATCAATTGAAAATATAAAAGATGGAAATCTTGTTGATATAATCGCATCATTGAAATATTTCAAATACTTTTCTTTTAATTTTTTCTTAAAACATGTGGTTTATTGTCTTTGTGATTTTTTTAGTATATTTACATTTTTGTGAAACATTATGCATGTATAAAAGTTAGTTTTAGCTTAAAATCTTGATTTCAATTTTAAGTTTGAACGGCACGTGCTATCCCTTTATTTACGATAGTGATACTCATACTTAAGAATTCCTCAAGGACCTATCTGTCGAAAATGAATTCGCGAAGAGTCATCACGAATGTCGAGAATTTCGGGGAGACGTTTTTTTCTCTGCGTTTCGGTTCTGAATTCTCACAACTGTCACGAACGATTTTCGCCGTCGTTTTGTTCGGTAACGTAACCGAACACAGCTTCGCTTTTAAGGCGGAGTTACGGTGCGATTTGTAGACCCGTTCACGACCAGTAGTGCCTTTCTGGAATTTAAGGCAGGCCGCACGAAGGACACACACAATCGTGATCCGGTAGTGGAAGAATCGTTCGATTTGTATAGCTTCGACTATATCGTGTCAGACAATTGATATTTTGAGATTTTCATTGAAGAAAATAAAGAGAGAAGTTAATGACAATTATATAATATGAGATTGTGTGTAGTTGTTTGTAAGACTAAAAGTTAAAGTTTTATATCGAATTATATAATACCAAAAATTATATTTACAAAATGTATATTTAATTGGCTTTTATCTGGATAAAAAGATAATTTAATTAATAATATCTAATTATTAAGGAGGTTCTCGCGTTTGATGAAAAATAAGACAAGTCTATAATATACATGTAATGCAAAAGTTAATAATATCAATAATATCTAAAAAAAATTTCATTGACTTTTACCGTACCATT